GATCGCAGGGTGGGAAACAGCGAGAAAAAGTTTGGTAGCGTGTCTTGCCGTGCAATCACCTGATATGGGACGTAGTACACCTTGAGGCCGTTGGACAGGTATCGCACTCCGACCCGATGTGGGGCATACGCGTGTGTGATCACAATGACCTGGGTTTTGCAGAGCAAATTCAAGGAGGCACAATAGCCACTCGTCAGTCCAATCAGGTCTTCAGCATGGAGCAACTATTCTGGTTCTCATGCGCAGTAGCTCACCTTATGACCTAGCGCCAAGAGGCGCTCACCTACAAAGAAGATGTGACCTTCCACTCCACCCACATTGGGATAAAAAAAATCGGAGACCATTCTGCTCATTGAATGCGAATCAGACAGGGCAACGAACATGACAGAACTGCGTGTCAGCGCTTTACCCCGGCCGTGGAGATCCAAGGATGAATTGTATTTCAAGTGCTCACGCGATGCTGTAGCGGGGCCCTTGGCTAGTGAGCCCCTGGTCCGAAGGCGGTAGTGGTGAGGCATTGGTCGCAATGTCAAGGTCGGGCATTTCGATGCCAAGACGTTGTGCGATAACCACAGCCGCGGCAGTAGCCTCGAGCAAGCCTGCCTGCTGCTTGGCTGATGATCTGAATGTCTTCTTGTCACCTGCGGCGATGACGCCGTGCAGCCCGAGAATCAGATGAGTCGCGAGCAGGTGGGCAGTCGAGGCATCGAACCGAGCATGGCCGTCGAGGAGATTCTTGAGGCGAAGCAGGTTGTCAATCGCACGGCCCAAAATTTCGGTGGAGGCCTCCGCCGAGAGAGTCGTGGTTCGAGCAAACCTGGCGGCACGTCGGATTCTGTTTTCTGGATCACGGAACTGATTCGGCTTCTCTTCGATGAAGAGTACCGTGTTCGGCGTTAATTCTGCAAACTCGCGGTCGAGACCCGCCTGCGCTGGAACCAAGTGGCTCCAGACGTAGCCGGTCCAAACGTCGGCATCGTTCTCGCTAGTAGCATTTTCTGAGTAGAAGTCACGCATCCAGGACCAAGCCACATCCGTTGCAGCATCGAAGCTGACGCTGCCACCGCCGTCTTCGGTCGCCATTGGTCGCCCTATCGTCTCGCAGATCATGGCAGTCGCCTCGATGCGGACATCCTCGTCGTCGTCCGTCAACAAATCGATTGCTGCGACTCGTGCACGGAACAGCGGCAACGAGGCTCGATTGGCTCCAAGACCCTCAGCCTGATGCGGGAAAAGCACGGAACCAAGCGCCCGCATGGCCTGTCCGGCAGCCTCCCTCGACTGCACAGACTGATACTCATCGGCACACTTGGCGACGATGTCAGCCCAGCTCTCCAAGATCCTGGTCGAAGCTACTCGGTCTGCGACCGCGCTTTGGTCGTGCAAAAGTAGATTGCACAGATCGGCAAGATAAGGCAGGAGGGCCTCGCGAAGGGGCACACAGAAGCTGCAACGGGTCAGATCGACGATCTTCTTCGACTCTGCATACAGATCCATGCCACCCTCTGCGACTGACTGAGTCAGGCATGCGAGCAAGGGTCGGCCACTTGCATCGTGCTGCTGAGAAAGTAGATGCAGCACCTCAGCTGCATGGACCCGATGCCAGATGCCCTCGCTCTCGTCGAGCACGAGATTGTGGAGCCGGTGAGCCAGCGGGAGCACCTCGGTCGGGGCTGCTGCCGCCACTTGCGGCAGTGCAGCCTCAGCATCGTCCCAGGTCATGGCCTCAAGCACGGCCATGCGGACTTCGGCGGAGCTCGATTGCAGCAGCCCGTTGCAGAGCTTCAGGAAGCGCGGCACTGCCGAGCTGTTGCGGTCAGGAAACGCCTGCTGCAGTAGGAAGCGTCCACAGGTGCCGAGTAGAGCCGGACGTCCGGGCGTTTGCAAGTACGACTGCGAGACCTGGACCCGCGTTTCATACTCATTGATCGTGGCCTGAGCCCAACTGATCCACTCAGCGCTCGCTATGGGCCATTCCTCGGCGTTGACAGACGTGAAGCGCTCGATGCTCACGATATCTTGAAGCGCCTCGAGCAAGGCGGCTTGAACCACTGGAATGTCTTGCATCGGCCGACCACTGCGTGCAAGCCACGAATCCAGAGCCGATCTGAGCTCAGCCAGGTCCTCAGTGAGGGCGGCCACCGGGCCCTCAATATCTCTGGCGCCTTTGACCAATCGCTGAGCTGCCATCAGCCGCCCGTGCTGCTCATTAGCTTTCAGCTGACCATCTCGTACCTCGACGAGGATGTGCGTTGCTTGCCGGATGGCGTCAGAGAGCGGTACGAATGCGGACAGTGCCTTGGCGCCGATCTCTCGGATCTTCCACACCTTGCTTGCGAGACACCCGCGTAAAAGCGCGGAAAAGGCGTGCATGCGCTCCTGTTCCGTGTGCGACTCGGGCCACGTGTTCGGTGCTTGCAAGCGGCTGAACAGCATCAGAATAGCAAAGACGCTCGACTCTCCACCTTCCTCTTCCTGTCCTCCATCCTTCCTCTCCGACTGCAGCTCTTGTTCCAGTACGCGTCGAAGGAAGCCGTCGGCGTTGGGATATGTGGCAAAGAATTCGTGGACGGACATGCGAGACTCCTTCGTGTCCTTGTTCGTGTTGCGACTGCCAAAGATGCGGATGCAGAGAGACGAGAATAGCATCATGCTGACGTTGCGCAGGCCCCAGTAACGTGACTTGAACTTGCTGACAGTCAACTCCAGCAGGGTGCCGAGATACGGAGCCATGAAGTCCGCCAGTCCTCCGTCCATCACGAGAACGCGCAAGATGTTGAGTGCATGGATCGATGCAACAGGCATCGAGTCGGCATCGAGACTCGTATCGTTGGAGATGCTTATCAGCCGGTTGACAGTGATGCCGAGCACCATGGCGTCGAACTTGTTGGGCTGTGCGCTGACAAGCGCCAGTACCGCATACCCGATTCCGGCACTGCGTCGTGTGATGCTGAGCTGCGATCCTGGCTGCGCCACGGCATCCAAAAACGACGCGATCCACTGCTGGGGTAGTGTCTTGATGTCGGATGCCTCGCTGCCGACGATGGCCGAAGCAGCGTTACAGTACGCCGGATAGATGGTGCTGAAGGCGCCGCGATGACGGACCTGTGTCAACCACAAGTTGAAGCGCGCTCCGACGTTCTCGATCGCCTTCAAGCTGAACACTTCGCGCCATGGAGCCGCCTCGTCGATCTGGCCGGCATCATTGCCATTGACATCTGCTTCCGCTTTCGCTCTCGCTGCTGCAGCTTTCTCCTTCTTGCTCAACACGGGTGGCGCCAGCGTAACAGCGACAAGCGCACCCAGCAAGGCGCTGGCCTCCTTCATGCCTCTCCATGAATACGAGAGGATGACCTGATGCTTCGGGCCGGCGTTGGACTCCTCTTGCGGTTGCATCAGTTCTGCCTTGCCCTCGTCATCGGCAAGACGCATCGCTCGCGCCGTCTCGTGAGTCGGCTGATCAAGGCCTGTGGTGCCGTCTGTTGCGCTCTCTTCGGCATCTCCACCTGCACTTCCCTCGGGTGCCGAGTTGCACAGAACTGACCGCGTCACTTCCCAGGTTCGGTCGATGAGCTTCTCGGCGTCTTCTACCGCAGCCTTGTACGACAGCCGGTCTTCACGACCCATTCGATGCAGGTCGATGGTACCAAAGAGCTCCTGCAATGTGATCAGCGTGCCATGCAGGGGATTGTTGTTGGCAGCCTCGAGAAGGTTGCCGGCTTCGGCAACTCGTAGATGATGTGACAGGAAGTCGAGCAAGCTAAAGATGAGTGCAAGGATTGGATGGGCACACTCTCGTGTAGGATCGGAAACGGTGCTGTTCGTGGCGCCTACGAGGACGAGCAGAGATTTGGGACGATGGCCGAGTTGCTGCATATAGATCTCACGATACAACTGCACGAGTCTCGATGCGGAAGCGCATTCAAAGTCGCGAGTGCTAGTCAAAAGCTCTGCGGCCCTCCCTAGGATCCGTTGCGAGGCAGAGTCTGGCGATTCGAATCCTTGCAGAGGTGCTGGAAAGCGAGCGAGTATTGTCAATGCGCGCGACTGGATATCATCAAACCGGCTCTCTGAACATGACAATAGTAGCCTCACCAACGAGGGAGAGATAATGTTCAGTGAGAAAGGGAACTCTTGAACAAAGACTTGCTTTGACTTGGCAAGAGACATGCCGGCATTCTTTGAGAGGCTTTTGGAAGAGTCGCCCTGTGGTCTGCTGACCTGCTCCGGTGTCGTTGACTGTGACCCTGAAGCCGTCTGCGACGATCCGGACGACTGCTGAGTTTGGCCAAATCTGGCGTCGACGCCGCTCTCCAGTAAGAGGTCGAGAAAGCTGAGGGCCGTAATGCTGGCCTGATACGAGGCTCCCGGATGCAGGGTTTTGCGGATGAGCTCGTAGATCCACTGCAGAAATTCGCGGCTGTTGTCGAGGGCCTGCTGCTGTTCGGCAAGCTTCTGCTTTTCCTGGGGGTAGCGCTCCGCTTCGGGGATTCGCATGATCTTCTTCATGTCACGAGCCAGTGCATAGGTACTCGCCCTCAGTCGGGTAAGCAGCTTCACATAGAAGCCCCGAAGGTCGCTTCTTGCCGCCGGGTTGGAGATGCTAAGACTGTCGGGGAAGAACGATCGCAAGAGCTTAAACTCGGCCGGCGTGACGGGCAGCGAGGGCTTCGTGGCCTCGATGGCGAGTAACGACGCATCGAGCGTCGCACCGCTCGCCTTGCCCTTGCCTTTCCCCATGTTCAGGCCGCGAACCGCTTGCTGAGGACTAATTCCAGAAAGACGGTGTAAGTTGAAGACAGTAGGATGTAGAGATGGGGTCCGGGAGGGTCGCACAGTCCAGCCTCGAAGGTCTCGGCAACCGCAGTCCAACTTTTTTTGCTTGCACGATTTTCAGAGCTGAAGATGACACCCATGACAAGAGATCATTTAGACGAGACAATACCAGTGACTATATAATTGCTTCTCCGTGTGTGATCTTCAACAAGTAGCTCTAACAAGGCCGGTTGGCCCAATGGTAAGGCGTCTGACTACGATTGGTTCTTAGCAACTAGTAATCAGGAGATTCTGGGTTCGAGCCCCAGGCTGGTCAAGGGTTATCTTTTTGTGACATTCTTATTTCCACTCTTACTTTTTGTCGAAATTTTGGATCCCCGATTTGGTGACTATTTTACTGGGTGCAGTATATTGTGAACAAGGAGCCGGCATTCTCATACCACGTCGCAATGTAGTTAGATGATACAGACTCCGGGAGTGGACAGGCTGACGATCACAAACGCCATATACTTGCGCGACTAGAGGCAATATGAGGACCATGCAGATTGATGACTAAATTGCAAAGATGCAGTGCACACCAGGCTGTCATATTGAGTCCACCAGTCGTGAAAGGCGACGCTTCTGGATAAGCGATGCCTACTGACCCACGTCAAAGACGCTGAGCAGCGCAAAACACGCGTAGAAGAGGCCGACAGGATACGCAACCAGAAGCCGTTGTTCTGACAGCCGCAAAATAGAGACAAAGATTCCCGACGCCGATGTTGAACACCAGAGGATGAAGAGCGGAGAGACAATGTAGCCGAAGAAGGAGCTGTTTAGACGTCGAAAGAGTTCGTTGTAAAGACGGGCTCGAGGTCAGATCATGGCTTCTGCAACAAGTTTCCGCGGTTTAGAGGCGAGAGAGGATGTACACTTACTCTAAACGGACAACGATGCTTGCAGTGCTGAGAATGCAGAGCGGTAGGAGACAGTATCCAAGTACGGATGCAACGCGGTAGGCGTCGATGCCGCCTTCGCTCATGAGATTGAGGAGGGTGTAGATGCTGACGGCACCCAAGAGTCCAACACCGTAGATATAGCCGAATTGACTCTTGCCAGCCAAGAGAAGGGTCATGCCAAAGATGAAACAGAAGAGAAGCGGCCCTGCGAGATCGGCATCGTCCATCATGTGCGCGTCCTTAGGATGAGCAGAAGAATAGCCATGCAGCGGGTTCAGCACGGTGAGTGTCTTGTCGATGATGTGGCCGATATTGATGCCAAGCTCCTCCATGAGTGGAGGCTCGTCCGGATAACCACCGGTGCCAAACGCGGACCAGAATCCCATCTGGGAGCTCATCATGGCGTGTGCTGCGGAGCCCGGTGCGTACCCAGCCGAAGACGACATGTTGCCCTCCAGTGATGGTCTCGCGTTGCTTCCCGTGGCATACCCATCGTGAGCGGATCCGGAAGAGTAGTAGGAGTGCAGATGATTGCTGGTAGAGGGGTTGCTGTAAAAGTCGAGTGGACTCGCCTGCTGTGTGGAAGAGGCCTGCGGGCTCTTGGAGGTGCCTGCTGGCTGGCCGTAGCCGTAGGGCGACGAAGAGTCAAAAATTGCCGACATTGCACTTCGACGATATGTAAGGGAGTGGCCGACGCGGCGACAATGCTGAGAAAATGTGGCCTGAACGAGGATGTCGGCTAAACGCAGCAGATGCTACAAGCGTGATTGCAGACACAGGGTGACACCAGTCGTACTTGGTGAGGCTGTTGATCGAGGCCAAGTAGGGTCGAAGACGCCAAGGCTGAGGTTGCAATCGAGCAGGAATGATGGTTAGTATGATCAAGGAGTGTAGGCCAAGCTTCACGCTGTCTGAACTTGGATGTGTAAAACTCTTTGGTGGCCCCACCGCACATACTGTACTGTACTGTATTCGAGGCTGAGATACAAGCGCGAGTGTCGGTCTCAGCCAGGGCTCGCACAGTTGCGCTGCAACCGCCGCGTCACACCAAGTCGCTGGCCCTCCTTTCTTCCAACTTACATGGTCTTACACGTATTCCAGCTTTCTCGCACGAGACTCGGCCTTACATGTTAGGATCTTCTCTGCCAAGCACTAAGCCGGCCATGTCGCGCCGCGGGCCCTGCGTCTGTGACTTCGAGGGGAAGGTGGAAATTTCTCAAAATTTCAGGCTCTATCCGGGCCACTTGCCGCCGCCGCCGCCGCCCAAAGGAAAAAAAAAAGGTGCGTTGTGCCCCACGCCAAACTGCCGGCCAGCCTCTCTCGTGAGGTTGACTGTGAGAAAATTCAAGAAGGAAGCTGCAGAGTCTCAGTCACTTTGACACTCACAATCTTCAGCTCGAAACGATACCCTGGATGGCTATCTGTTGGTCCGCCACGCTTCGTACTTTCTCCGCACCATCACAAAACATTCTGATCATCACAATCCTACGGAGGAGGATCAGTCACCATGCCTCAGGTACGTTCTTGGTGGTGACAAACGGTGTGCGCCCGTGAAAAAAGAAACTAGATTCACTGACAGTGTTGCTCCGTCTCGTCTCGCTGTTGATACACGTCGGAGTAGAACGACTACATTGAAGAGCACATCCGTCGGCACGGCCGAAGATTGGATCATGAGGAGCGACAGAGGAAGCGCGCGGCGCGAGAGGTGCACAAGGCCTCTGCGGTGGCGCAAAAGGTGACGGGTCTTAAGGCTAAGATGCTCAACAAGAAGCGACGCGCGGAAAAGATCCAGATGAAGAAGACGCTCAAGGCGCACGAGGAGCGAGACATCAAGCAGGCATCCACGTCGTCGGATCCCAACACGGCATTGCCCACATATCTGCTTGACCGAGAGGGACAGAAGGATGCAAAGGCGCTCTCGTCGGCAGTCAAGGAGAGGAGAAAGGACAAGGCGGCGAGGTACTCGGTCCCGTTGCCTCAGGTGAGAGGTATTGCAGAGGAAGAGGCATTCAAGGTTATCAAGACCGGAAAGAGGAAGCAGAAGGGCTGGAAGCGAATGGTGACCAAGCCCACCTTCGTCGGCGAGAGCTTCACCCGCAAACCTCCCAAGCTCGAGCGTTTCATTCGACCCATGGGACTGCGTTACAACAAGGCGCACGTCACCCACCCCGAGCTGAAGGCATCCTTCAACCTTCCAATCGTCGGAGTTAAAAAGAACCCGCAGAGCCCGCTCTACACCCAGCTCGGTGTTCTTACCAAGGGTACCATTATCGAGGTCAACGTCTCCGAACTCGGCATGACCACCACCACTGGCAAGGTCGTGTGGGGCAAGTACGCCCAGGTCACTAACAACCCCGAAAACGACGGCTGCATCAACGCCGTGCTTCTCATGTCCCAATAGAAGCTCAGCATGAATACCCTCCTGTGGCACTTGTCTTACAGTAGACACTCCCTCTCACCTCCTTTTGCACGTCCATGTCTCTCTTGGTTCTCACTCAGGCTCTTCTCGATCCTTTTTTGTACACTAGCATCTTTGGTCTTCGCCAGACACATCACACTGCACATGCAGGCCGTGTCATCGACGTGAAGCTTCTCGCATACTCAGCCCTGTCTCGATATCACATGGTTTCTTTTTGCAATTACAGTCATGTTCATCACATCATCACACATCAGCTGCAAGTGCCGTGTGTTGGCGATCCTTAGGAGAATCAATTGTTTAGTTTAGCTATATGGTGACGAGTCATCCCGGTTCTGGAAACGGTTCATACTTGAGAGCAGCAGGGGCATTGAACAAGATTATTGGGTGCCAAGAGCGCCAAAGCCAAGTGAGATGGGGAACACAAATTTAGCTGTCAAGATCCATCTCCTCTGCGGGTCCAAAGTGACCGGAAAGGTCGACAGGCTGTGCTCCGGGATCGTGATGGGGCTGTTGCGAGAAGGGTTGGTGATGCAAATGCTGGTGCTGGTGCTGATACTGATGCTGATGCTGCGGATGCTGAAAATGCTGAGAAGAATGCTGGGAATACTGCTGTTGACGGTCTTGATGCTGGGTTGACATTTGATTAGAGGAATAGGTTTGCTGCTGCTGCTGTCGAGGCAGTGAAGCTTGCTGAAGCGGATAATGCGTGTGAAACGGCTGGGGCTCAGAGCCACTTGATGTCTGGCCGAAAGAGGCCCAGGTCTGGGCTGCTGGCCGCGCCGTATGAGAGCCGAGATGCGATTCTAGTGAGGATGTTGCCGGGAAGTAAGAACTGGACAGCGACGATTGCTGCGCATAGAGCGGGCTGTCAGCGCCATGAACAGACGTCGCTGGGCTTGAAGCGCCACCGAATCCAAATGCAAGTGATCCATCCGGACTCGCGGCTTGGCGGGCCGAAACCGAAACGCTCCCTGACGAGAAAGAGACTGGCGGCTGCGACATGAAGTCTGCACTCGCTGCTGGAACAGATGAAGATTCCATCAACGAAGACGGCGACGAGGAGGAAAGAGCCGGTTTCAAAGGTGACGAAGACGTGGGGACCGATGTCGACGTGACGCGGAGGACCTCTTCTGGATCCTTCCAGAGCACGAGGGCGCCTCTGGCATCGTCCGTATTGATGGGAGAGGCGTAGCCAGAGGACGAAGCACTTGATTGCGCCGATCGCCTTCTGCTGGACAACATCGAGCCGAGATTCGACAGCCCTCCACCACAGTTTCCTGTTCCTCCGCCACCAGACCGCCTGCCGCTACGTCTCGACCGACCCGAGGGAGACCCGCTGCCGCCCGCGCGCGACGAGGACGAGGCTGCGTTGTCGCGGTCTGATGTTCCTGTAAGGACGGCTCGTCGATGGGCCTCGAGCTTCTCGATCAGCTCGTTATTGATCACGAATTCAGATGATTCTTTGCTGGCGCTCTCGGTCGATGTATCGGCGTCGGGCGTTCGGTCGTCGTCGGCTTCGCTGGCCCCGTCATCAGAAGCAGAGGACGGAGACGTGTCGTCAAGGCTCGTGACTACGATGCGGTCCGGTTCTACCTCGTAGCTCGAAGGAGCTTTGCGAATTCGCATGACTGAGTCCTCGAGCTCCAACGAATTTGCATGCTTGGTGGGTATCAAAGCGCTGATCTCTGTGCTCGGTGAGGCGGGAGGCGCGATCCCCAGACTGCCGCGCGCAGCCAACGTTGGCGAGGTCGGCGGGGCCTGCATGACCGTCTGGCGGTAGAGCGAGGGTGCTCCGAAGCCATCGAGTGTAGCACTTCTGTTCGCCGACTTCGTGGGGCTAGATGGCGGCACTGGTGGAGCTGCTGTTCCTGACACGCCGGACAGCAGCGACGACGACAGCGACGAACCGAGTCCGAAGGCGCCAGTCAGCCCACTGTTTGTCCTGCCACTTATCGGTCG